AAAGCGAGAAATCACCCCCCAGGGGGGATGGTCACGCCGCAATCCCTTCTCCTCCATTCTCCTCTCGGGATCTTGGGCACGCACGCACACATGCCCGGCGTGAGTTTTAAGCCACCAGGTCCGGGACACGAACCGCGGTCGACCACGTGGGAGTCCAGCGACATAGCCATTACGCTAACTGCTGGTTCCCCCCTTTTCTTTTTTTTGATCAAATATCTGTAAGTATTGCTTCTGTCAAAATAAGACTACTGAAGCTCAACTGCAATAATGTGTACTAACTGTTGCTGCTTGACTAAGGCAACACAGGAGGCCCAGATTTGATTTTTCAACCACCCAGAAATGCTAGGAGTTCCAGCTACTTAAGACTGATGCAAGAGGATTTTGAAACAGCAAGATGCTGTCTTAAAAATAACAACAAACACACACACACCCTCGCACACACATACACACACACACACACACACACAAAGAAAGGAAACAAAAAACAAAAAGATTACTGAGAAGAAAATATTCATCATATTTGAAGAAAGATATTTTAACAATTTTCAGAAAACCCCTGGGCAGAAAAATACATGAACAATTCTCTAATGAAATTTAGTGGGATTAAGAGTGTCTAAGAAAGTTGGATTCACTCACTAATATTTCAGAAAAATGTATTTAGAGATATTAGAAATAATAATAAAATAATCAGGATTATTTCTTCTCTTATGATTTCTTATGTACATTTAATTGTTGTTTATTTTTATGGTTATTATATGCTTTTTCCAAAGTATTTCATCACAATACTTATCTTATTTCATAATCCCTAACTATGAGGTAGTTACTATGTTTCTAATTTATAAATGAAGGAAGACCCAAATCACAGTTATCCCTCAGATAAAGATTCTATAAATACATGTATTTAGTTATTTTTTAAAATTTTATATTGTTGATTTTTGAACAAGAAATCATTTTAATGTCTTTGCTATTAATTTTCTCTTACAATGATTTGCTAGCATATTCAGAACAATTATTATTGGATAATGAATTTGAGAAGTTAATCATAAGTAAAACATTTTAAAATAAAATATTTTGTCAATAATTTTTCCATTAAGTCAAGTGTTATCCTGAACCAACTGCCATAAACTGACATGTATCATGATGTCAACTACATAATTTCACTAGAAGTTCATTTATGCTATCAGTCTCTCTGAGATTGTCTTGAGGGCCAGCCTGAGGTGTAGTGGTTGTGGCAGCTGGATCTCACATGGCTGACTGTGCAATTCAAGTAAGTCCTGCCCCTTCAGCCTGAAAATCACACTGGACACCCATGTATGTGCATGCTCAAAATCCTTAAAGAAGGGATTGCTGTGTGACCATACTCCATAGGGTGATTTCTCTCTCTCTCTCTCTCCCTGAAAAGTGCATGTGATCTATAGCAAATTAAAAAGAGAACAAGGTTTCTCTTGAATTTTTAAATCCAATTAAAACATTCTTTATAAGAAAAAGTTTGCAACAATGTTTCTTTCTTTTAACTTCTCTACAATGTTTCTCTCTATATTGTACTATGACATTATTTTGCTATTTCATTTTTATTTAAAAAATACATTTAGTCTATTTTTGCTTTTTTCTCCCTAGTCTATATTTATAACATCTTACTCTACTCAGTAATGTTAGTTGTATGATGTCAAATACTACTTTGTTAAAATACTAAGAAACATGGCTAATTTAATTTAGTTATTGGAAAATGATTAATTCCATAGTTACAAATGACTACCCAATGCATAAAAATTCTATGGAAATTGGGACCAGTAGTTAGCATAATGGCTATGTCGCTGGACTCCCACATAGTCAACCACGGTTCCTGTCCTGGACCCAGTGGCTTAAAACTCACACCAGGCATGTGTGCATGCATGCCCAAGATCCCGAGAGGAGAATGGAGAAGGGATTGCAGCGTGGCCATCCCCCCTGGGGGGTGATTTCTCGCTTTCTGCCTCTCTGTCTCTCTCTGTCTGTCTGGTGAGCACACATGCCCTAAAGCAAAAACCTCTCCCCTCAGAAAAAAAAAAATTCTATGGAAATTTACATGTTTAAAGAATTATTTATTTAATTTTATTCCTTGTTCTTCAATTTTCCCAGAGAAAGACACAGTGAGAGAGAAACAGAGAGAGAGAGAGAGAGTAAGCCATGAGTTCCAGGATCGGAACCATGGTCTGCCATATAGGAGTTCAGCTCCTTACCTGCCATGGCACATGCTGGCTCCTACATTGTTATTTTGATGGCCATGGGAAAAGTATATTTAAGAACACTCTGTGTCAAGTAAGTTTAGTAATTGCATTTGTATTTAAAAACCTCATTGGCACCAAGTAACATTAAGATATTTCACATTATCACTTCCACTATCTTTTTCATGAAGATGACCACACTTCCCAGACTTTTAAAAGTATCCAGACATCCTGGTCTCCTGACATAATTCTATTGTATGTCTATTTCCTCATTGTAATTCTACACCCAAATGTGGTTTCTTTGGAAAACAAATTATATGGTTATCCTACTTATTATCAACACATTTTTATTATTATATGAAGGAAATTTTTATGGTATTTCTATCATTATAATGATGTTGTGATAAGTAAAATGATCTCATTAAAATAATTTTAGAGGACCAGCAGGTTGCCAAATGGTTATGTTGCTGGACTCCCACGTAGTTGACTGCAGTTTGAGTACTGAACCTGGTGACAAGACTCTCACTGGGTGCATGAGTGTGCATGCCCATAATCCTGAGAGGAGAATAGAGGAGAAAGGATTGTGACATGGCCATTCCCCCTGGGGGGTGGTTTCTCACTTTCTGTCTCTCTGCCTCTCTCTGTCTTTCCAACTAGTGCACACTCACTATAGCAAAAATCTCTCAAAAAATAATAATTTTAGAAAAACTCTTCCCATCTTGACATAACTATTGTTACTTACTTAAATAATAGTTTATTCCTTTTTTTAAAGAATTATTTTATTTCACTTTATTTATTTTAATTTGACCAGAGAAGGACAGAGTGAGAGAGAGAACGGAAGCCTCTAGGTCTGGAACTTGAACCATGGTCGGCCATGTGGGAGTCCAGCACCCTTAACCACCATGCCACCTGCTGGCCCCAATAGTTTATTCTTATGGCCTCACAAATTATTTTTTCTTTTAAATTGCTGAGATAATTATGGAAAATCTAAGAGTAGAAACATATTCTTTTAAATATCTTATGCTCCTTTTTGATGAGAAATGTAGATAGAATAACAAAGTCAAATGGACCCTTTAGGTCTGGCATGATCAGTGTGAATGGAATGGATATACCTTTGGAGATTAACTCTTAGAACCAAATTATAGGGAAGTTAGAAAGGTGAGCTCCACTTAGCAACCTGTGGAAAAGATCTACAACCAAATAATATCAAGCAAAGTGTAATAGAAGTTGAATAAGGAAATGATGAATAAAAATATTGGGGGAAGATATAAGTAAGACATGCAGATCAATAAAGAGAGTAAAAAGTTGTTCAATGTAATAAAGTACAATAATAATGATTGGATGACCATCACTGAGTTACTCCTTACAGCAAAGCTTATGCTTTAATAAAGCTGACTCAGAACAAATATCACTTGAATTGGTGTGTAATGAGAAGTGGAAATGCATTTCAGAAAATTTGTCTTCCAATCAGAAACGGTTTCTGGCACCACACTTTTCTCAATACGCTCTTCATCTCCCTGTTTCTCAGCGTGTAGATCAGAGGGTTGAACATGGGGGCAATGATTGTGTAAAAAAGTGCAAACACTTTGTCTTCTGGAAAAGTTACCGTTGGTCGAATATAGATGAAGAGGACAGGCACAAAGAACAAAACCACAACAGCTATATGGGAACTGCACGTGGAAAGAGCTTTACCGCGGCTCTCTGCTGGGTAAGCCCTAATGGTATACAATATCAAAAAATAAGACAGCATCAAGATCACAAAGGCCACCAAACCCATTGTCCCAGAATTGGCAACCACTAGGATCCCAACTCTGTATGTGTCGATGCAGGCCAGCTTCAACAAAGGATACACATCACAGAAATAGTGGTCTATTTCATTGGGGCCACAGAAGGGTAAGTTGATGGTAAGAAGGAACATGAGAAAGGAATGCAGAAATGCTCCAGCACAGCAAGCGATGACCATGGCATTGCACCTTGGCCTGCTCATGATGACAGTGTAGTGCAGGGGCTTGCAGATGGCCACGTAGCGGTCATAGGCCATTGCTGTGAGGAGAAATATCTCAATCCCCCCAAAGAAGTGCATGGCAAAGAGCTGTGTCATGCAGGAAGTATAAGAAATTGTGTTAATTACTGCCAACAAGTCAGTCACTAGCTTGGGTGTCACTGTTGAGGTATAGCACAGATCTGAGAGAGCAAGGTATTTAAGGAAGAAATACATGGGCTGGTCAATAAGTTGGCTGCATATAATAGAAATCACAATGAGAAGGATTCCCATCCAAATAGCTATGTAACAAAGTGAGAATAATAGAAAGCAAAAATATTTAATATTCTTGTTTTGAGAAAGTCCTAATAATATAAATTCAGTGATGTTACTGGTAGTTTCCATGGTCCATGCAGTCTGGGTTCAATAAATATAGCTGAAAGCAAAAGGAATGTCAACATAAAAATAATGCCTTAGCATGGTGTGACTCAGAATGAGACTTGTATAAATGAACTCATTTATTTAAGTAGTTCCCTTAAATTATTGAAATAATTGATTCTAAACAATGTATAGGTGGGCTAGCCATATAGTACAGCACCCTGATCAGTTTTATGTAGCAAAAGGATGTGATATTAATAAGCTAGCTGAATGCATAAACAAAGATGTACAGTCATTTCACTTAAGAGACACAAAGGTGGGGGCCAGCATGTGGCATGGACGTTAAGGCGCTGGACTCCCATTTGGTCAACTGCACCCAAACCTGGTGGCTTGAAACTCATGGCAGGTGCATGTTTATGGATGTGCATACCCAAGATCCCAAGAGGAGAATAATTGAGAAGGGACTGTAGCATGGCCATCCCACCTGGGGGATGATTTCTTTCTTTCTCTCTCTCTGAACAGCACATAACCCTGTAGAAAAAATTTCTAAAAATAAGTTAATTTATTGAGGAGTACACATTTTTTTGTCTTGGGGTAGCTTGCTTATTAAGTGAAACAGAGCCAGACTTAGAGTGAAGTCAGTGAGGTGCATTTCACAAGTGCAGGAGAGAATCCCATCTTTATTTAAATATTAATTTTATTCTTGTGAAATTGACTTTTTTTTTTCTTTTTTTTTTTTTTTTTGTAGAGATTTTCACTGTAGGGCGCGTGCGCTCGCCAGACAGACAGAGAGAGACATAGAGACAGAAAGCGAGAAATCACCCCCCAGGGGGGATGGTCACGCCGCAATCCCTTCTCCTCCATTCTCCTCTCAGGATCTTGGGCACGCACGCACACGCGCCCGGCGTGAGCTTTAAGCCACCGGGTCCGGGACACGAACCGCGGTCGACTACGTGGAAGTCCAGTGACATAGCCATTACGCTAACTGCTGGTTCCTGTGAAATTGACATTTTTGATAATTATTTACTGACCTACAGTAGGTGTACATATTTATGAGATATAATGCATTTTTTAAATAAATGCATACAATGTGTAATGATCAGATCAGAGCATTAACATATCCATCATCCCTAATGCCTATTGGATTAAAATATTTTTTATTATGGTTGCTGAGTTGTTTATACCCATGGTGAGTACATTTGCCTCATTCTAGTCTTTATATTAGATCTAAAAACATTATATATTTCACAACACTAAGTGAAGTACCAAGGCTAATGGTACCAGAGTCTGCATGGGGTTAGAGGTAGATGAGGGTTCAAGGAAGCAAACGATCAACAGACACAAGAAGGATGTAAACAAGATGAATAGGCTATGCACTGGTGTTCCTCTGGAGCATAAAAAGGCATTGCCAATCAATATCTACCTGCAGAAAAATAGTTGAAGGAATATGAAAAGTACACAATATAATGTTCATTGTTGAAGATGGTGAATATCATCTCTTGATACCTTTGATTTTATTGTCACATACTTCATCAATGTTTTAAGACCACTAAGATGTGCAAGAATTATAGGTAAATCAGAAATTATATTTAAAAAATATAGAACAATTTAAATAATATGAAAAATGATAGTATATAAAGGTTATCTGGCTATGATGTTTCCTTTGATTTAAAAAGATGAGATTAAAAATCATAATAATTAAATAATATTGAGAAAGGAAGGCAACTTGAAAAATAAAAGTGCACTGGGACCAGCATTTAGCATAATGGCTATGTTGCTGGACTCCCATGTAGTAGACTGCTGTTCAAGTCCCAGACCCAGTGGCTTAAACTCATGTCAGGCACGTGTGCCTGTGTGCCCAAGATCCTGACAGAAGATTGGAGGAGAAAGGATTGCAGTGTGGCTATCCCCCCTGGGAGGTTTCTCGCTTTCTGTCTCTCTGTCTCTCTCTCTCTCTCTCTCTGTCTTTCTGGTGAGCACATGTGCCCTATAGCAAAAATCTTTTTAAAACAACAAAAAAAAAAGTGCAGCAATGTATCTATGTAATGGTACTTAACACACATGTGACTGTAATAACCTCTTTAATTAATAAATAATTGCAGAAATTGATAAAAAAGTGACTTCACTGTTTTAAAATTTAAAACATGTTTTAAACCTTCTTTTATTCACTTAGAGAGAGAGAGACAAGTTACTTCACAGGGTCTGATCGCGTGTCCCATCTTCCTCCCTACCAGCCCCTCAGCCAGCCAAGATCATGGATTCACCTAGGCACATGTGGTATTTCAGGTTGACTCAAGAGTCAAACCCAGGCCTCCTACATAGCTTCGATATTGCACTGCGGATGAGCTTCCGGCTGTTTTAAACTGTGTCTTTTAGAAATAGTGTAAAGTTTGTAAATAATGCATCCCAAGTGTAGCTATTTATTTTTAGTATTCTATAATTAGAAAAAAATACTTAACTTATATTATTTAATATCTTGTAAACAGAAAAATGAATTTTTAAAAATAGCCTTAGTTTAGATTATTGATTTGTTTCCCATTAATTTACCTTTTTTTTTAGTTATGAACATATCATTCATCTTTTCCAAGAGTCTGAGATAACCCTCCCTTATACTTGCTCATACAACTCTTGAAGAACAACATGATTCTTACAGACAAAAGATGTTACATATTACACTCAGAAAAATGCCATTAATTAATAGGCAGGATGGTGTAAAAAACTCTCTGTCTCCCTTTCTCTTCCTCTTTCTTTCTGCATTTTGACACAATGAAGAAAGAATTAAATGTCTTCCTAGTTTCTTTGTTTCCTTAAGTTTATTGTTCTACAATAGCCCTCACTTAATATAAAGAGTTTATATTTACTCTGTTTTAATTACAGCTTATACTTCAATCATCGTGTTACAATTTTCAGTGTCTTTGTTGCTAACTTCTCAGTCACTAAATTTTTAATTTATTACAACCTCCATTTTATGTTACCGAATTTAAAGAGAGAACTCGGCTTCAGGAACTGCAAAGACTATTATGGCACTAAGACAAATTCAGTAGCTGTGATTATAACTCGGTTCTTTGTTTTTTCTTATCCTTATCCCTTTCTCTTATTTTTTCTTTTTTTCTAATCTGTTCCTAAAAGGAAAACCCTTGTCTTGGCTATACCACATGTAAATATTTAAAGTTTTGAATAAATTGCATGAAATAAGAACTTCAACATGTGGACAGCCAAATAAGGAAATGGATAATTTATTTATCAACAAATGTGCTTGACCTTTTTCAATGTAACAAGCACCATTTTAGGCAGTGGTAATAGATTTTTAAACCAGATATAGAAGGTCCTTATACTGAGGATGATTAACAGCAAAATAAATTTCAGAAGGAAAATGAAATATCAATACTTACACCTTTAGAAAAGAGTCACACAGTAGGTCTAAAATAACTTGCATTTCATAATGAATTGAATCATCCTATCCGCTTTAATTCTATAAAAAGTCGATCAAAATTGTGGGAAGTACAGCTTGCATGCTCCTTGCAGGATACTAGACTTTCTAGAACAGGAGCCATGATGTTTCAGTCCCAGTTATCCATCAGGACATGCAGAAAAAAATAAAAAAGGATCAGAAGCTAAAATTTTAATTTTAATAGGATATTGGGTTTTTATTTATATACCACGGATCCAGTTCTTCAGATTTTAAATTTCACACTTCATTTTTAAAAATTATTTATTTAATTTTATAATTATTTATTATTATTTAATTTGCTATAGGACACATTTACTCACCAGAGAGAGAGGGAAAGTGAGAAAGCCAACCACCACATCTGAGACTTGTACGTCAGTCAACGATGTGGGAGTCCAGCATCTTAAACACCAACACCATGCCCTAAAATTTTATATTTCTTAAAATGTTAAGAATTATATCACTTTTTCCCCAGAGCTTCTTAAGTTCCATTAATGATTAATTATTTGACTTAAAAAAAAAAAAAACTACATTTGAAGGAGTTGCCTTATTCACACAAATAGATAATTTAAGATACTTGTTGAGAGTTATGCTTCAGGTTCCTTCTTAATAGAAAAATTTTATTAAAAAAATACCAAGACTGGCCTCCTTGAGTGTAACAGGGGCATTTTCTCTCTATTTTAATATCTCTGTGTTCTCTTGTGGAATTTTTAATTTATTGATTTCTTCCTAAAATATTCTATTAATATAATTACTAACACTGAATTCTGAAGAGTCAGGATGTCCGCTTTCAAATGAGAATCATCGTGTTACAATTTTCAGTGCCTTTGTTGTTAACCTCTCCGTCACTGAATTTTAAATTTATTACAGCTTCCATTTCACATTCTCAAATGAGGATGGACATGAATAACATCATTAAACATAGTTCTTCAGTGAGGCCACAGTAGTGCTTTGTATTCTTCTTATCTTTCATGGTTTGGTATCAGCACAGAAGTTCAGAGAGAGCAAGTAAGAGAACTTAGTATATGATCAGGGGTAAAATAGTGAACTTGCAGGACACTCATTCTCGCCCTGTATAATGTGGGCATTTCTAATGAGAGCGTTTCATGATCATACAGCTTGAACAATCTGGTACTTAGTGTGCCACTGGCACAGATTCTTTTCTCTATCATTTTGCTTTTTACCACATTGTTATGTAGAGATTAAATATCCAATCCAATACATAATAAAAATAAAAGTTCACTGAAAAATTAATAGATAAAAAATGCAACCTATTATCATTCATATAGAATTGCTTGCTATTATCTGAGGTTTTGCAGAGACCTAAAAGAGAATTAATGGAAACACCTTGTAGTTAGTGTCTGCCATGTCCTAGATGCAATTCTAAAGATGTGACATATATTGACTCTAATCCTAACAAGGACTCTGTGATCATTTTATTAGCCCTAATTTGCAAAAATGGAAACCTCTTTATAATTTGGATAAGCATTGATGGAGACTATACGTCAGTCAACGATGTGGGAGTCCAGCATCTTAAACACCAACACCATGCCCTAAAATTTTATATTTCTTAAAATGT